TCAGAAGAATCATCTATGCAAATCAAATTACACATCCCCAACACACCACTTATAACATACAAGATTCGATGAATAAATAATTTTGCCAATACTGAGAAATGTTGATCCAAGTAATGCAATACAAACTGTTACTTGGCATATGGCATGGATACTGTATTAGTGTGTAATGTAAAGGTTAATAGCAATTCACATCAGCCATTATTCAGTGAAACCACTAGGCATTGGACATGAATGATTTCTTAGAAAGCATCCTATTCCAAGAACTCACCAACAGTGACATGCCCTTTAATTTTTAGTAATTGTATCAGGACCCAAGCTTCCACAGTATCAAAACAGTACTCCATAGTATGACCAATATTCAACCAAATTGATGAATATGACTTCAACAATGATAATAATATTAATAATAATAATAAATTATTATTATTTGCTTAACAAGTTAACACTATTTAACTTATCTGTTAATAATATAAATCAACACAAGCAAATTCAGTCTATGTATATAAAATTTTAATTCAAGAACAACATATGCAATTCACTTTATTTGTATAAGTAAAACATTACCTCTGAACCCATGATTCAGTGAGAAACAAAAAACCTGATTCATTATTACTATTACAATAATAAAAATAATGCAAATAGTTAAACAATAAAAATTACATGAACTGCACATTTCTTCCTTTACTAATACTATTTCCATAAAAAAAATATAACTATTCCATGTACTCACACTATTTCTGTTCTTTATCATCATTATATGTTAAATCAGTCTTCTGTTGATTGTAATAAACTTTTAAAAAAACACCTAACACATGAAGAGAATATTGTAAGCAAGAGACAGTTAACTCGCTATATTATTTTTATTTACAAAAATTATTCTTCATTACACACACCAAAACCAACTACAAAAATTCAAATTTGAGGTTCCATTATTAGAGATAATTTATAAAATTTCTTCAAACATAACACAAAAGTATTTCCTTTTTCCCTTAAACACAGCAAATAAATTAATTTAAGCCATCAATAGCTGACGTGTTCCTAGCTGCTAACACTTTTTTATTAGATCTGGAAAGAAAAATTGTAAAGCAAGCATTTGATACAAAGAGGCTAACATAGGGATTTCATAACAAGGAATGAGGGAAGCATTGAATTTACTGGTCAATTCAAATTTTGGGCAGAAAAGTTTGTAATTTGACTCTTTTTCATTATCTTATGGATGAAGGGATAGCTCCCACCCGTAGCCCCATGATGTGAAGTTCAGTAGTGGAAAAACGCTTCTTATGCAATAATAGTTGACGTTCTTTCAAAATAATGCTATTTAAATATTGTTTTAATTGTGTAGTTAAATCATCAAAAACAAGTCTCCAAACTGAAAGGAGGGAGGTTGGGCAGAAGATTTAAGAGAGATTTCTCTAATACACAAAAACTGGATACTTGCCATTACTTAGTAGAAACTTAAATTCTCCTCTCAAGAAATTGAAACAAAAAGGAGGGAAATGAAAACAATGTCAAAGTTGAAAACTTTTCAGTTAGTACACAGCAACAGATATCTGTGTGAAATTCACCTTAAACACAAACTACAAAGAATAAACAAACAAGAAAGGGGAAAGAATTCTGTATAAGGAATAAAAAATACATGCATATTAGATGATTACACCGAATATCAGATATTCAGAGAAAAAACAAGAACATTAAAATGACAAATTAAATGAGATAACTAGTGGAAATGTGTGAAATCACTAGAGACTCACTCGCAGGTTTCCAAAGGATGAGTTTCAAAATTACATGAATGTTCAGGGCTTAGACAAAAGATATTTGCCTCAAAACTATCAAGGGCACTCAAGTGATAATTGTGGTCTATAACAGCACAAATTTTCTCACATAAATTTGCAATTTTTGATAATACAGACTTCAAAGAAAATGGGACCTGTCCCATCTTTTTAAATGTTCCTTGACCTTTCAGTAGAAAAAATGTTGAACGATTTTTCAGGAAACCTTTTTTTTTTATTGCCTTAACTTCAAACACAAATTACGCAAGACCTACTCATTTTTTCAAAAAAATGTACACATCCTTTTTCAAAGAGCTGATTTTTTTGAACATATTTTTTGTAAGACTAAAATTCCTTCTTCAATTTTACAGATTTGAAATTTTAAGTTTTCAATTTTTGAAAGTTAGTTAGTTTGCCGAAAATGAGACTAGCGCCAAAGTTTTTACTGTTCTTTGATACATGCATGGAGAAAGTTCAAAGAAAAAATTTTGCGCCATTTTTGAGAGAAAAAAAGTCAATAAAACGCCTATATTTAATGCAAAATTACACGAAAAGTACTCATATTTTCGAAAAATCGCAAGGACCCTATTTCAAGATCTGCCTTTATGGAATAGATTTCATGAAGGAAAAAAATCTCTAGTATTCCAGTTGTAGGATGACGGAAAAAAAAACTTTCGTAATTTTCGAAAAATCCGGGATTTTAACGAAAATGAAATCACAACTGTGGCAGGTGGTGTTCAAGGCCAACATTCTCTTAAAAACCCTTTATGCTATTCGAGGACAAAGTTAAATAATAATAATAATAATAATAATAATAATAATAATAATAAAAAGCCATTTTTTAAAGAAATTTTCGAAAATGATATGGGGTTTCATATAAAGTATACCTCAAAACCAAAATATCCTTTTGAAACTCGAGGGATTTAGAGTTCGTGTAAATCGATCGGAGAAAATCAATTTTTCCGAAAATCCGTTCAACCATTTTGGCGTTAGCATTAACCACAGACGACCGTATGTTTTGCCATCAATAGATATCACAAATTCAGATGCAGATGCTCATACACATTTTTGCCTTCCACTTTGTAACAAAATATGCACTTAATATCAAAATGTTGACAACTTATTATTCACATTGATAGATAGGTATAAAGATTTTGTGTTCTCTCTTATCAATTCAATGAATATAATGAAATTTAGATTTAGGAAAAAAAAATAAAACACACACACACACACACACACACACACACACACACACACACACAGTAAAACCTGTATGTGACGTATGGGAGAGACGATAATCTGCACACATTTTCTTGAGTTCCAGAATTCTTTACCATCATTTTAACTATAAATAGTTGAAAGATGAGAAAAAGTTGAAAATACATAAATAAAAATTAATTTTAAAAAAGCACGAGTTTAGCAAAAAATAGAAAACCACTTTCGTTCCTGAGTTATAGAAAACTTACTTGCATCAGTAAATGAATTGCAAGCATGATTTTTTCTGCACTGCTAACAAAATAGTAACTTGCTCTTACCTCTACTCATACCATTACAAGCAAAAGGAGAGTTGAACAAAACATGTGCATAGTGAAGCTACATTAATAAATATAATTATATAAAATTAATAATTATAATAAAATGAAAAAGATCATGTGTCAGCTAATGATGCCTTTACCCTAACAGGTCGATTGGGATAATTATCAGGGAAAAGCACAATTTACTAATTTTGTGTACATAATATTTCAAGCAACTATTCTTTGTTATTTTTTCTATTACTTGAGGAGATTTTAAGAATTTAAAGTGCTGAAAATACATTTTACTTTAGAGATCTTACCTTTGCCAGCTAGCGATATTGCAATCTCTACCATAACTCTCTGATACAATACCATCAAGGGAAATCTCAATTGTCGTTTATAATCTATCAAGCCGGTACATGCAATATAAGATTTGATATACCAAGAACACGATTCTTGCACAAGAACCAATCGTGCCTTTGGAGGGCATATTTAATCAGCAATGCAGTTGATGAGAACAGTGATAACCTGCATCCAAATGGCCAAGTGCCTGCTGTCACCATGGACATGTGGAAATGCCACACAACTGTCAATCTCAAAGTTATCTTCTGCAGAATGGAAAACTTTACACTCTGAACATTGTATGGCAAAAACTTACCAATGTTTCCATTTTGCTTATAGATTTTAGAAAAAACATTTTTTTAAATGAATACTTTAAGATGTTCCTTCTATATCACTTATGAAAAAGGAACAATCTCTGTTTAGAAACAAGAAAATGTTTATGAACTACAGTAAGGATGTCTTTTCTGGAAGTTATGGAACCACACCTCTGAACAATTTTCATATATAATTAAATTTAAACAAACTTTATAGAACAATATCATTATGTGAAAGATTCATACACGCAAACATAAAAAAATCTGGCAAAATGTAACTAATTTAATTTATTTAATAATGGTTTTACATTTCCTATTAAAATAAATAAACGAACGCACAACACATCAGGACTCATTCTAGCCTTACAATTATAACAAAAATAGCATTTCCTTTATGTCTTAATTGCAAAAACTAAAAAGTTATCTAAAGAAATAAAAGAAATCATCTCGGTCAACTTAATTTATTTATTTTGTGAACTGGCTTTTGACAGCTTTGCTGTCACCATCAGACTCACTGTGTGTGTGAGTCGGGAGACTGCCAGACAGTCAGGCACAGTCTCCTGACTGCATGTACATTCACCTGACTTTTGTCACACACCATGGAGTTGATGATTACAACAAAGCTGTTGAAAACCAGCTCTCTAAATAAATATACTAAGTTGAAGGTAACTTCTTTTATTTCTTCATGTAATTATGTCAACAACACCGCATCAAAATTCCCTTAAATTTGTAAGTAGAAGATAATTAACATCACATGGCTTGAATATTACATAAAAATTCACAAAGAAAACATGGTCATGACAAATCATTTTTTTGACTTCAAAAAAGTATAAAAGGTAAAAAAGAAAAAAGTAAAAGAAAGAGACAGAATCCCCGAACACATCTAAATACTTTTGTAATGCATTAAAACTCATTTTAAAATAAAAGAAAATTAATGTGAAATTCTTCCTTTTATTTGATTTTTTGGGAGGTATTTTTGAAGTGTTAACTTTAACTGTAAGAAAATATACCACGAAAATCAAATAAATGTTAATTCCTATATTTTTTAATAGTACGATAGTTCTGAAAAATTGTACCTTTTTTATTTTAATTTTTCTCTGTTAGTTTCATTTTCACTTTATCAGAAAGAGCTTTGAATACAAATTTCTTTAGCCCAAGTATTGTAATTATTTCTTTCCACATTACATCCATGAAACCCACTTCAATTGTATTTTTGTTGACCAAAAGAATTTGTCTTTAAGTTTTGATCACATTGCACACATTAAGTTTTTCACTATTGTGTTCTTTACATGGAACTCTCCAACATTCAATTTCATTTAAGTTTTAGTAGCTATTTAGGCATTACACTTTACAGGTAAAGTGATTTCCTTTCTCCAAAGATTACATGAATAATTTACCAGAATGCATTTCTGCATTCCAAGAACAAATTTTTCTGTCTTTTGACATCTGTCATTACATGCATCACGATCATTTAAATGACATCCAACTAAAAGGAGAACCTCTCTGGCACCACAGTATCTAATTGTTTATATAATTTCTCTATTGTTAGTAACCACAACCATGACTCAACTTCAGATGCATTTTGTTTAAGATAAATTAAAGGAAATCATTTTGCAATTGATATTCTACAAATTCTGTAATGAGTATGAAGTTTCCAATATGCCAAGTGATAATTGAGGAGCAGAGATAACCACACTACATTGTCTTGATCTCGTGTATCAGAATTTTCAGATGCGTACGAACTCAATGATTTAAGAGATACAAATTTAGAAGTCAAGGCAACTTCTCCAAATTACTAGAAACGACTAACATACAGCTCATTCCAAGCACAACCTGAAACTCAATATGCAACCAACATGACATATAGTGGACAGCAGATACTGAAGGAAAAGACCAATCCATTTTTTCGAACACCTTAAGAGCTAGCATCGAGCTGTATGGGTGGGTGTAGAGTAAGAGTATTTCAAAAACTCATCTTCAATACATTACCAGATGCTAAGCATGTTAGTATTATCATTTAATTTATAAATTTCATTATTCATTTATTCACATTTTGAATTTAAAAGTAATATTTTTACTAGTGTTTCGGAAAAAATATTTTAGTGGAACCAGGGGCACCCTGCTTCCATTCCTGCAACCCCAGTGATCAGCACTGAAATCTCAGCCTACAAATGGTTAAAACTTTTCAACCTTTACTTTCTGGAAAACCCAACAGACAGGTATTAGAACGTGCATGTATTTTAAAATATCTTATTCTATATGAATGTAATAATCACAAAGCATAAAGGTAACAAAAGTTCACTGTAAAATTTATTTTTACTTCAACTAAAGAAATCAACATACACAGAATCTTTCTGAGTGACTAAACTTCAGCAAACTGTGGTGTTCAAATCATTTGAAGACAGAGAATATGAAAGGTCTTCAAAATAAGCAGACATGATAAGGGAGTACTGGCCTCAACAACCTCCTCAATGCATTCATTTGGCACAGTGCCTGCCTCTACAGCATCACATTTTCCCTTCTTCACCCACACCCTTCTCATACCCAGACCTCAAGCAGGAGTGCGTATTTGCTACAAAAGCAGGCATGCAGCTGATTTTGTACACAGACTATAAAAATATTTTTACTTGTTTTCTTAGATTTTAGATTGTTACCATGTCGAATTATCATCAAAATATTCATTGTAATGTTTGATTATTTTTGACATTCTGCAAATATTAGAATTAATAATAATAATAATAATAATAATAATAATAATAATAATAACAATAATAATAATAATGTATAAAAAGTTAAGCTCCTAATTTTTGGAAGAGAGCGTGTAGTCCCTAGACCACCTCAGTGGTTAAGGGCATATTTAAAACCTCAGGAAGCCTGTGGCACTCAGAAGGTTGAGTTTATAGAATATAAAAATGTTCTATTATGTAGATTTATTCCGTTTAATTTCAATTAAGGGAATTTAAGTTTTGTAAATGTAAAATATGTATTTACTTTCTTTAGTTGTTTCGTTTATTTCAATTTTTAAAGGTTTAATAAACATATTTATTCCTTAATTGTTGTTTTCTTTCATTTCTTTTCACAATGCCCACCATGGTTGGCTTTTTAATCTAGAGGTAGTATTCTAACCATAATAAAACAAGCAAATGAAAAAAGAACTATACATCTAAATGTCCAAATTAAAGTAGAGAGATGCAATTGTTAGCCATCCAATTTAGACATAGGGTTTTGACAAATTATTATATTGCTGTAATATGACATATTTATTGACATTACATTATTATTTTGACATATTTTGAATTGTTAAATTGACATATTTTATATGACAATTATTATCTTGACAATTTTGGCATATTATTATAAGCCACTTATAATAGAAGCAATGAAATGTTTCTTCTAAGAATAGTAGATTCATTGCATTGTTTTTTATATAAATTTAAAAGAAATACCCTCCCTCAAGAGAACGTAAAATGTTTTTATATTATTTGTGTGGAGAATTTTGTAGACCAGACAGGACACTTGCATAAAATCTCTATTAACTCGCTTGGGTACATATACAACAATGGATGCAAGTTTACCAAATGGTAGATAGAATTTTAATGAACAGATACCTTCCCAGCTGTGCTTCATTCTAATGAAAATTTTGTAAAATTTATGCTGGGGAATATTAAATACAGACAGCCTGGTGGAGGGTTGAGGTTTCTATAACAACACCCAGCATAAACACTTGCTCTTGGAAATTACTCTATCATGATATGCCAATCCTCCAGGGAGCACTTTCTTGTCCAGCCCCTTCATATAACATCGAGGGTCCCAGGTTCCTCGTCTCCAGCGAGCCTTGAGACATTCTCTGTCTTCTCCTCTGCATTGACAAGTTTCATATACTTTATTCAATGCCATAAAGTTCCAATACATCAAAAACCTTCAAACATTATCAATTCACAGAATCCTGAAACTTCTATTGGAGACTACATGTCTTCTTTGACCAATTGTTCTTGGTTACCAGACATGAGAAAATTTCAAGAGTTTTTGTTTTAATTTTCATCTTTAAATTGAGCCCTTACGTACAATCAGCTTATTAACTCAAAGGAAAATTATTTTCATTTAAATAATGTTGATAATCAAATATTATTACATCTGGATACCTATGGTATATGGCTGTGGTATCAAACTTGTGGGGCCTCTAGGACCACAACTAAAACCTTTAATTTGATTGAGGGCCATGTTTTCATTATTTGGGCTATCCACTCTAAACTTTCCTGTATTGTTGATATCAGCAGTTTGTCAGGCTGCAACCATGCGTGATATCAGATCATAACGTAGTGTACACACTGGGATGATTTTGAATTTCATAATTTACTGGGAGGAAATTCATACATCTACAATTAACCCATTTTTATATCAAGATGCTATTGATAGCAGCAGGGCATGTGCCCTAGGTGCACAATGTTCTTGCCTGACATGGATGCAAGGGCGTTTCACTTTTGACTAATAACCTTTCGCAAGCCACATTAAATGGCACCATGGGTCGCATGCAGCCCCCGAGCTGCAAGTTGAACAACCCTGGTATATGGCATGGAACGTATGATTGGACATTAAACTATTCTAACATTTGATACAAGATTAGTTTTTCCAGTAATTGGTCTGGGAGAGTGCTGCTGGCTAAGTCTAGGAAGTTCAAAAAGGATATTCAAGACTGATACAAAAAATATATTAGAACCCCTTGGGGATTGGCATATTAGCTTCCTGAGCACCAGGTTATATTTTCTGAATTCACTTATCAGAGTAGACTTCCAAATTTCCTTCTGAAAGTATGCAAATTCAATGAAATAATACAAGGACTTTAATCCTATGATCACGGAATCAACTACACAATTCCAACAACACAAACAATTTTAAAGGAAAAGCATGCAAACTGGTTGAGACCCTTTTGAAACTAAAATCACCCACCATTTTAAAATATATTCTACAAAGAGCATAAAGAAAGTGCATGTGTAAGAGTTAATTATTAAATTTTGTAAAATAAATCCATAAAATCCAAAACAAATTAAATGACAAGAAATAGATATAATCTTTCAATTTAAAGTGCAAACAAGAATAAATTTGTCCAGCAGCACTTCAGTCTCACTTCTTGTTGGAAGCCAAATACTATAAGTCCCAATGTCATACATCCTATGTTTACAATCTATAAAATTCCAATAATAGAAATCATCCATTATTTACAACATAATTACCAAGTATCAAAATAAAAATCTGTATCATACTGAAATAGGATTCAACTAATGTTGCAATTAAAAACACAGCCTTTTGCTCAGTCCACAAGTGATGGATAAAGAGGAAAAATTGGAGCTTGTCTTAGAAATTGCAGACAAGAATTAAGCAAAGTCTATAACCCCTCTGCCATTACTAAATATTACCTAACAATAAAATTAGAGCTTGGTTTTTTCGTGCAGGAAAAAATCTTTTAAGATATATAATCAGGGTTTTAACATGTAAGTTATCCGCCTTTTTCCTGACTCCAACAGAAAATTATATGTTCATGAATTCGGAAAAACAAATGCTACCTATTTAAAATTGTTACAACATACCAAATTAAAAGAAATGCACATTTTTTTAAGAATCTTATGTACAAAGACCTGAACTGTCCACCAGATTACTACTGCAGCTCCTAGCCAGCAAGTCCAAATCAGGAGGTTTCCCTTCAAAGTGACTTCGAACATGGAACATGAAATCTGCTTTATTACCAAAATCCTGGCGACACACAAGGCAAAAATGCCTTTCACTTCCATAATGCTGGACATGAGTAGGCATGTGGGGAGTAAAGTATGCTGTCGAAGTTGGTACCACAGATGATGCTGCTCCACTAGAACAAGCAGGGGGTGCGGGAGGACTACCGTTAAGGTGATTAGTCACTGACGGCTGTTGCGATGGGAGCATTGAGGTCATTCCCATCATCTTCTCTTCAAGATGCCCTTTTGCATGTGACATCCATTCATCTCGTGTACTGAAAATTCGGCCACACAATTCACAAGTCCAATTGATACTTTGGGTTGAAGTGGATTGCTGTGGAGTAGCACACCCTCCGACTTGAACTTCCTTTTCATTTTCGCACTTGATATGTTTCTTTTCAATTGGACTATTAGCTTTCTCTATATTAGTGCGCTTTCCCAGTGGTGCCACATTGGACGGGGTACGATGTTTCATTTTATTCATATGAATAACAAGTTTGTCACGCCTAGCAAAAGCCTTATTGCAAACTTCACATACGTAAGGTTTTTCGCCAGTATGAATACGCATGTGTATAACAAGTTTATCTTTACGAGCTAATCCTTTCCCACATACAGAGCAAGCAAAACTTTTATTAGTACCAGTATTACTACTCCCTTGAGAACCTTCTCCAACACCATTTATTTTACCATTTACACTTTTTCCTCGAGCTCCAATTAAAGGCAATACTTTCCTCTGAGCTGCAAAATCTCCATTTAACGTTCCCTGCATTCCTTCTGTGTAGGTTGAATGTTCCGATAATGGAAGCATTCCAGGTCGTGGAAGGTTTCCACCATAATCTGGGGACCTAAAGCACCATGACACCTCAGTAAACCATGAACAGGACATTAGATTAAATTTAAAAATATCTTTATTTTATTTAAAACTAAGTACTTCTACAGATAAATTATTTAAGCTGTAGAAAAACGTGCGAATATTATTAACACTGGCAAAGAACTTACCATGTACCTAATGCCCTTAGAACCCGAACGCCATCATCAAACCCCATTCCATCATCAGGAATAACAAACGTTGACTCGGGATTTGTTTTGTTAAGGTACTGTTCTCCACTTGGCTGAGATATAAGAGGAACTTTAAGTGTTGTTGTATATTGCCCACCGTTTTGGTTCTGGCACTCACTCAATTCCTTTCCTGGTCCTCTCTCGTTTTTTTCATCTTCGTTTTTCAAATGCAGTGTAGACGTGTGTGGAATATGCTGCGTCATACTTTCACCGTAATTAACTTTATCCGTGTCATTCATTTTCTCCGGTTTGACGTCTCCCTAAACGAACAATTAAAATCCTTTGATTTCGTGCAAATTTCTACAGTCAAACATGGCGCAAATGTAAAGAAAAAATTGGCCGGTAAAATGGCCTGTCACACAAACACAGATCGATCATAATTTCACTCACTTATTATAAATTAATGAAGTCAAGTTCTTCACTAATTTTAAAAATGAAGTCAACGATAAATAAGACACGTTTATTCAAGTAATATCAGCAGTGAACACCAAAAGTGACTTTCGTTACAAGACTGGAGAGATCAATACATCAACGAACAATAAGTTCAATGATTTGTAATGTTCATACAGCGGAGTTATCTCGACAAATATAAATTAATTGTAATAATAAATCAAACAAGGTAATACTCCGTAAAATTCAAATTAATCGCTCACTAAATGTAATTTGTCCGTTGACTAACGTTGTCAACTTTCGATTTCATTCAGATCAGATGGGGGGGGGGGAAGGAGGTGTGTTGAGATGTGCGTGTGCAGGCGTGGGAATAGCGGCACACACGGAATTAATTCCATAAATTTAATTGATCGAAGTCACTATTGAACACATTATAATGCATATTGCACTTTGTAGATCTCGAAAACAAATATTTCGTTATTATCTTTAAATTCATTGAGTGTGGATACTCGTGAATTTGCGAGATCTACAACAGAAGGGACAGCAAGAGCCCCTACACAAAATGTTCTACATTTAATTAAAAAGTGTTTTTAAGTAAACACTGGGTGAGATAACTAAGATGAATACATAATTGTTATTTATCATAGTCATCCTTAATAACATATTTATAAACAACTTTTGCTGCAAACTAATATAAAAAATAATTTAAATATTAAATTTCGAAACTATCTACAAATAACTAGGTGCAACTATGTATTAAGATCAGTTTAATCTACTCAGCAAATGGAAAATGCTTACCTGGGAATTGTTTGTGGAGTCTTTTGCTGAAACATTTTTGAGCACGTTCTCAGAATTCAAACAATTCAATCTGAACTCATAAAACATATCTAATTTGTAAGCACATCTATGACATATTTTCTTGGGAAGTGAATCATCTTTTGATATCTGTAAAAGCGTATTTTGATGTACAATTTATAAAATATGGCAAAACATTGTTTCAAATGATTTTCAATAGTGCCATTTACGAACATTGTATATCATGTTTCCTGACAAACTCTGTGGATACTCGTGAATAATTCTATGCAATGTTGAAAAGTAAAAAAAATGCAAATTTTCAGGAATAATTTAAGAATGAATACTACACATGACAAATTGAGTAATGTGCTATACTTTACTGTCATACGCACAAAAATTGGAAGACAAGACCGAATCTTGAACAGCAACTGGCGTTGTTCGCCTTCTTTCTCAAAAATATGCATTCTTGCACCACTTTTCAAAGTGCATAAGCGGCAGACTTCTGTGACATTATAATCTACCATCATCGGATAGTATGGGGCACGAACAATACTGCAATATTTTTCGTTTACATCACCTAATGACGTGCACTAATTAGAAAATTATGAACTGACAAACCAAAAATGAATACATCTAGAATAACAAAAATCACAATTTATTAATCTAATTTTATAATTCCCAACTATAAACAAAACACCACACAATTGCCGAAAATGTCGCTAGTTCAGATTGATCGGTAATACTGCCAACACTTTATGTAAAAATATCCCAGAGTACCATGAATGTGGGAATATTTTGTGTACCTTCGTTCATTTGTTTCCAAGGTCGTAGACCACCGATTCTTATTATTATTCCATATAACAATTTTGTTTGCTTTTGAGAATAGAGGCATGTGGCTCTAAGCAGTTTTAGTGTAACATGAAATGTATGATTGTTAAGTTGATGCCATTCGAGATATCAAATTCCATCTATAGCGATACGCTTGACGGCGAAAGTGATCTTTTGAAGTTGACAGCGAGGAGTTTGAAACTGGATGTTTTGATTTTGTTCAGCTAATCAAAATTGTATAGTGTGCATAAAACGGGTTAATCAGTACTGCTCTTGAATTTGTAGATTGGGAATTAGTGTACTGTTATCGAATTTCATTACTTTTTTTGCATAATGGTAACCGTCCACAATTTATATATTTTTGATCGCTATGGGACATTGTTATACTATGCTGAGTGGAATCGTTTGAAACAGTCTGGAATTACAAGAGATGAGGTACATTAACAATTTTCCTTTTTTTTAAATTAAAACTCTTGTGTAAATAACGATGTGATTTTTTTTTTTTTAGGAAGCAAAGCTAATGTACGGAATGCTGTTTTCACTGAAATCCTTTGTTGGAAAAATTTCTCCGTTGGATACAAAAGAGGGTTTTTTGTACTACAAAACTAGTAAATACGCTTTACACTTTTACGAAACACCTTCTGGACTGAAATTTATCCTTAACACTGATGTTAATGCTCAAAATGTTCGAGAATTGTTACAACAAATTTATAGCCAAATTTACGTTGAGTACATTGTTAAAAATCCAGTATGTAATCTTAAGGAACCTATTAAAAGCGAGTTATTTAAGAGTAAGCTTGATACTTTTATCAAGCAATACAACCCGTTAAAGTGATAGAAATGTTATTAAATTCAGATGTTTATGGTTGTTATGTTGTTTATTTATTGCTTTTTGAAGATTGTATATGTAAGAATGTAATTCTCTGCCATGTAAATTATTGTAAGACATTCCTTCATATATCTTCATATAATAAATATGATTTCTCTTGTATTAAGATCGTAATGTATCCTTGTTACTATAGTATTAAAGTGCTGTGGTTTAGTGCTTGTGAAGCTTTCATTGATAAAGCATGAATTTTGTCCTTAGATGGCAAAAAGAAATCAGATTTTTACAACACCGGTGCTATACTCGACCAAAACTTTGAAAAGAATAATCAAGATATGTAATACACTATGCAATGCATCCACCGTAATGGATGGATTCCACCATAAAGTGTGTAAAATAATTCCATGAATTAGTGAAAAATTCATCTGTGAGCTGTGTAATCAAAAACATGATCAAAACGGACTAAAGTCTGCAAAAAATGAGAAATCAGTTACAGCAATAACAACAATAAATACCCTCTTGAGTGAACCTTCCTCCTTTGATAATAATTGTCATGAAAAGTCACTCTTGTCTGATAATGTTTAGGAGGAGGCAAAAGGTGTATTGCTATTGTAGTTTTAAAACAGCTGTGGCAAATTGCAATACGATGAGTCAGAAGAGTAATTTTTCATAACCTCTTGAATCTTTAACACTACTGTTATGGACTTTTTTTTTAAGTGACTTCTAATATTTTGTAGCAAAAACTAGATATTTGGGAGTTTAACTTTAGCTTCCTCATTACAATGTGTAATTAATGTAGCAAAAAATCTTTAATTGGAACTGGCCTCAATTATATCTTGTATGGCAAAATAGCCCTTTCAATGAGAGATGTTTTATTTCCTTCAAAGAGCCATGGATGCTATTCGAAATCATTAAGAAAGTAGTTATTCTTTGGCCATTAGAGATTTGTTGTAGTTTTAATGGGTTTAAACAGTAAAGAAACATTCAGTTTTGGGTTTTGTAATAATTCATTGACATGAATCAAACACTTCACTTGAATTTTTGTGCAATGAATACTCTTTTTGGATTTATCTTAAAACAATTCATGATCATCAAGATGATTTTGTTTTGTAAAATACAGTTCAATTACAAATGCATCAAGTGTTGGCTTCATCTGTCTTAAATTTTATAGTCTCAGGCCTTAAAATTAACATTAGAATACAATTTGCATTTGCTTTTGGAAGCAATATTTACTATTATTTTCAGTCCAGAAATTCATGTATTGATTCTGGGAGGGGAGGGGGGGGGGGGGGCAAATAGTAGCCGAATGATAGAATCTGCAACAGACTAATATACCTTTAGGCAATGAAATATTTTAACATAAGGCAATGCACAAACCAAAATAAGATATATTTATAGATTAAGGGTTTTGACCACTTTCTTATAAAATAATTGGATAAATTACGTTTACGTTTCGTAAAGCTAACGTTTCGGAGGTACATTAAATAAAATATTTATAAATTAATTTTAAAATGTACATACTTATATCTTGGGATATTATAGTAAATTATTTTTAAGTCCTGTTTCTCAAATTCTATATTATACTTAGTTTTTTTTAATGTGGAGCACAAAGGCCTATCGAGCATATCTTCAAAATGGAATATCTCACTGCATTTCACTTCTTTCCCAGTGTGCCGCTAGATATACTAGGTTTGTTCTAGCAGCAGTTCGAAACACTCTCGAACTAGTCCGCGCATGCGCAGTCTAGTTTTGGGCGTTCCAGCAGCAGCAGTCGGGATTGTGACCGGGAAGTGGGCGCAGAGAGTATAGGGTTGCCAAAATACTCTCTGGTTGCTGATTAGTTTGAAACCAGTCCGAATCAGTTCGTTCACTCTCCCTCATACTAGAAATTCGCGCATGCGTACTTCGGACCCCGAGTTCCCGCCAACGCCAAACTTCGAGGACGCACCATTTCCATTTGCATCAGGTTTCTGCATAGTTGTTTTATATTCCGCTCTATATATTTTGACACTGCTTTGTTTTACATTTTATTCATTCTTAGTTTTTGGTGATTTCTCTTTCTTTCGGATTTTTCTCGTGGATATTGGCATTTGACCCTGCATTGTTTTACGTTCCATTGATTTTCTAGTTTTTTCAGGTATTACTAATCCCGCGCTTCTTTAAAATTTATTTTTATTTATAGTTAAAACGATGGGAAGGGATTCTGGAACTCAAGAAAACATTCGCAGATCATCTTCTCCCCGATACGTCACATACAATTTTTTACTTTTTTTTTACTAAATCAATCTAAACCTAGATTCTTGGATTTTGGTGAGTTAACCATCTTTTGGATTGTCTTGTGGATATTGGAACTTGATATTTGTTTTGTTTTTTCGGGAAATAGAAGGTAAGTAATTTTAAGGAAGTTCCTTGTACCGTGACGTACTAAATATGTCTGTAGTTATTTACCATTCTGTATTGGTAGCGTTATCTCTCATTTTTAAGAAAAATACAATTAACCGAAATCCAAAAGAATAATCAAAAATAATAGCGCAAGTCATAGTTTACCAGGTTCAAAATTTGTAATTGATAGCGAAGTCAAGAAAATAAGCGAGCAATTATGGAGAAACGTAAAGCGCAAGTGAATACCACAGGAATACCAGGAACTAACCAGGGTCATGTCGCTTTGATTTTTACACGCGATACGAAAATGATATCTGGCGGAGAATTCTGCAACTACCGATGAAACGAAATCAGCGGAACCTAGAGACTGATTTTTGTACCTACTTGTCCCAGCAGATCCCAATCCGGGACTAGTTTGCACTCACGCATGCGCAGAGTGAGAGTACGTGAAACAGTCCGTGATTGTTTGCAGGAACAAACTCTCTGGCTATATCAGAGCCCCACCACCCCGTAGCGGCCGACAGTGAAACGTACTCCCACATTGAACCCCGAGAAATTCGTCATTAGGATGGCAAGACCGCGCGGGAATTCAAATATTGCCCTTCACCTATGGAGAAAATTTGAGATACATAGTTAGAGTTTGCGCTTCTAATTTATTTACTCTACAGGAAACATTTTTCGAAAAATATTTCGGAATAGGAGTTTTACAGAATACAGTATTGATGTAATAAAATATATTGAGAGCGTAGGCTTCCGCGGGCGGAGTCAGTATTTACTGGGCTGTCGGGGTGACGCCGCGTCCATGGCGAAGGTGCCAACCAGAGAGTATATTACGCCAACGTTTCGGTCACCATTCTGCGACCTTCCTCAGGGCGTAATGCTGCGTCACCCGGACAGCCTAATAAATATAAAATATATTCCTGGGGTACATTCCAAGAACTCCCAAAATTTCCTTCCTGCATCCTGTTCTTACACAACCTGTCAGTTTCATTTTTCTTTGGTTTGTTTTGGTGTAAGGCTATTTTGGAATTTTCTTTTATTTCTCGTTATTTGGAAGAGTATGGATTAATTTACAAAGAATTGTTTTTATTACAAACAATGAACAAGAGCATGATTTGTACAGTTGAATAAAATTGTAATCACATGGGCAGTTTTGAATCTAGAGTAGAATAAATAAAAATTAGTCCCGATTTTATAATAAAAGAAGAGGCATTCAAAATCAACCTCAAACTTGCTATTAACATTTCAAAATATGGAGAAAATTAAAAGCTGATTATTGTAACATCCTATACCACATTTTTGAAATTCTCTCTCCTCCCTGCTTTTACCCCACTTCAAGCATAATTCTTAATTAGAAATGAAAATCCGTGTTTAAGAAAAAATCATATAATGCAAATAAATCATTTATGACGATCACAACCATTTACTAATCGCATGAACAAACCTGAGAAACGTAATTTTACTCCCATTTACATCTTTTTTACCAGCTCTATTTGTGCAATTATATACACAACAGGAAACTACCATTATAACTGTAATATAATATGTACCAATATAAATAAATAAATGACTATGATAAGGCTAACAGGATGTTTGTGAGGTCATTGGCCGTCAGGTTTAACGACGTTATTTGTTCATAAAAACATGGTCATACAGTAATTTATCAACGTGCATCAGAATTTACCTTTTAAAACTTCTTCAGAATGAATTAAAATTAACCTCACACCGTATACGTATCCTTAACTGCTTAAAAAACCACACTCATGCTAATTCGTAGTTAACAGCTGACCGCTTTTGCCATCCTAATGGCGGCGCAATTTGGGAGTGGAACAGTGGCGCTCATGGCATATCTAGCGTCTCTTAAGATACTATATCTATGGGCTAAATGTATAGACACTAGCGATCATGCGACATCTAGCGGCACACTTCAGAAAAACGCAAATGCCATGAGATTCCATATGGAAGATAGGCCTTCGCCCACAATAGATTACACCAGAAATGTGCGACGAGAAATGTGGAAAATCGAAACAAAGAACACTTTTCGACCTCCATACACTTCAAAGAGTTCCTCGCTCGAGTCGGTCAGCGAGCGAGTTTTCTCCGACACTCCATTATTTATGTAAGGCCATTTGCTAAGAATAATAATACACAAGAGTTTGGGAATTACCGACCTATAACTCTAACTTCAGTATTTGGCAAACTCTATGAAAAAGTTATATTAGCAGGACTTAATTGTTTTCTTGAATCTAATAATATCCTTAATAAAGCACAACATGGCTTCAGGAAGGGCTCCACCACAACTGCTGTTGTAGAGTTCATACATGAAATCATTGGAAATTTGGAATCGAATAGAAAAACAGCAGGTTTATTCATAGATCTTTCAAAGGCATTTCATAGTGTATCTCATGAGAAACTGTTGGCAAAACTTATTATGGAATAAGGGGTAGAGTCAATGACATTAGATCATACCTCACAGATGGTAAGGAATGTACAGAGATCTTCTGACAATCTGAAAATTTCTTATCCAAGTTAAGTCAGATTTTGATACAATTACATCTGGTGTTCTGCAAGGATCGGTGCTTCGACTTTTGCTATTTCTATTATATGTTAATGATATTCCAAGCGCATCTGATTTCTCTGTAACTTCTTATGCAGATGATGCAACATTAATAATTAATGGGCAAAATCTTTGTCATCTAGAAGCTAATTTGACTGAATCATTAAAATCAATTAAAAGTTATTTGCCTATAAATGAATTGAAATTAGAAGTTGTTAAAACTGTATTAATCAACTTCAAGTTTCATCACGGTCACCAACATCAAAACATAAAAGAGGAAGTAGACAATTGTATCAGTGAACCAAACTGATTGTCATAAATTCTTAGGAATATTCATAGATCAAAACCTAACATATAACAAACAAGTTGATACACTTTGTAATAAAATTAACTTTAATATATTCCTCTTGAGGTACTTTTCCAGATACCTGGAAATTGATGCACTTTTTTCAGTATATAATGGGAAAATCTTCTCTCAACTCATGTTACTAAGAAACATTTCTTACAATGTATGTAATTAATAAAGTAAAAAAAAGGAAATGGAGAGCCCTCTGAGACAAGAGTGCTTTGATTACGTCACGGATCGGTGCTCAGCGCCACGTATGCGCCCACCACAGCCAAGTTCCCAAAGACCACCGTTTTTTATTTTATTTGTTCAAAGAAATGCGAAAAATAATTCAGAAGCTACAATGCAAGCTCTTCGGTTCCAAAAATTCAACGATCTGCAAACCCAAATGACAGCTTGTCGAGAAAAACAGTGGAGATTCGTTACCAGTGGAAAATGTATGTGATTAGAAAAAATTCAAATGATTTAAATTTGTGTTTGAAACCAAGAATAAAAAAAAATATATATATAAAAGCATTGAAAAAGAAAAAAAATGACTAAAAGGGTATTTATGTCACCCAAGACAAAAAAAAAAATTGAAATAGAAATAGAAATACGTCAGAATGCATAGTTTTCCATAATTCATATATTAATTGCCTTTAAATATTTTCATTAGAATAAAATAAGCATTTTCCTTAACATCCTATGTCTACTGATAAAACACAAACTGATTTTCAAAACTTCGCACTCTGCACATTTATTTTAAACATCATGATATTTTCCATTATTCAAAGTGTCCGTGCGTGACAAGATTGTCAATGGCACCATCAACATCCATTTCAATATTTATCTTTCACTCATGAATCAATCCAAATCCATGGAGCTATGAATACATATTATTCGCGCCACTTTTCATGACGAATGACCTACCTTTTCCCTCCCTGGCACAATAAACAGATGAAAGTAAACGATCGTAGCAAGCACTGATGTCAACATGCTAAACGCATCTTCATTAGCGCATAATAAAAACTATTTGCCCATGAAGACGAAAACTGTCCATAGTGTTTTTTTTTCCTTCTTTCTTTCTAAAATAAACTCTTGTCCCGAGTAGGGCCAGATCTATCACAGGAGGTACATCGAACTCCTGAGAGTTGGAACGCAAATGAGAAAGATGCGATCAATGAGTATTGTACACAGTCGCCCCTACGTGTCTCTCGTCCTGCTCATGCCCTATGTGTCGCTTCTTCCACAATGGCGCGCGCCGCCATATTGGTACCACCATCCTGGCGAAAGTTACGTTGTAGGCAAACAAACTGAAATATTTATTTCGTAAGTTAGCGAATATTTAATTCTTTGATATAGTTCACTACAAAGACCACGATAAATAAGAGTTATTACGTCAGCAGTACAAGCAAGATTCTACTAGTACGTTTAAAATTCAATCATAAAAAATATACTTTGACAGCTAGTGTCTATATGAAATACAGAAAATATGCCTTCCTAATTGTGTCACTATTTAAAGAACACAAAACGTGCTAGTGTTTGTATTTAGGATTATAGTACATAGATTATCCGTTTCTTTCGTGGGTGAAGGCAAAATGGCGTATGAAGACTCACCGTTTAGAAAAATATATGTATAAAAATATAAAATATACATTAGAAAGATGTAAAAAAAAGAAAGATATCGAGTGCTAGTGTTTCACTTTAATTGCATCGTTTATATATTAACGACAGTAGTTTATTTGCATCCTTTAAAAATATCAATTTTCCCTTATATACATTGTAGCCTGAAGATGTGGCCATGTCCTAGAAACGTCGCTGATCAAAGGTTGAATAATGGGAAAAAAAAGTTTAAAAGTGATTCTGAGTGATTTCAAAACTACTGTCACAAAATGTGGCCTCCTTTTTTAACCTTATAAATTACATACATTGAAAGAAATGTTTCTTAGTAACACGATTAAAGTGAAAATATTATTTTTTAAGTACCTTTCGCAAATACTGGAAAATAATGTCTTTTTTAAATATTACTGCCAACATCGTATGAAACAGATGGCTCGTGCTTAATTGTCCGATTGCACTACCCCTAGAATATCGAAAAAAAATTTTGTGTTGGCAATATAATTTTACTTTCAATTGCATTCTATAACTAAGATACTGGTGTGTGTAAAATCATTCTGAAATCAAAGAGTGTCCAAGGAGCGCTCTCTCCGGCGACCGGTGCTCTCCCAGGGAGTGCACCGTCACTCTTAATGCCCATTGGAAATCAAAGCCAGAACCATGTGTTGGAAACCAAATGTAATGCGTTTCATGTATAAAAGTCAAGCAGTTTCAGCGCGCCCTTACTGCACGTATAATCCATTCTTTTTAGAAGTCACACGTACCTACGGGGGAAGGGGTGTAACAAGCATTAAGTTACGAAATTATTTAGCGGTGGCTCATGCGTTCATCACGGACGGACGGGGGAAGGAGGCATTCAAAATACTCCGAATCTGCATTACGTATTTTATCGACGGCCCAGAACAGTATTAATCCTATCAGGATAATAATTAAAAATGAAAGAAATGGCTGTTTGGAAATAGGGGTCACGTCCCAAATGATCGATTGTTTTTTTTAAAATACACAATCCAATCTAGAAAGTGATCCTATTCACCCAACGTATGCGAATTCTCCAAATTTATATTACATTATTTTCTGACTATCCTATAGTGCCCAGGTTCAAATCGCAGCATGGGTAATATTTTCCCTTTCCCTAAACTTCTCTTATGCACAGAGCACAATACTGACATACACTGAATTTTATTGAAGCAATTATCATGTTAAGTTGAATACAAAAATTACATATTTTTATCAATATTTGATGGTGAGAACATGAGAGAACGTCACGATTTCTCATCATTTGATGGTTTGAGTTTTTCAAACATGGCTGATGAACATTGCAAATGCAATATTGCTATTTGCCCCATTAAAGTATGAAAATGTGTGTTCTGGCACTACTAAATAAATTGGTTTAGAAATATTAACTTTGAACCATTGAACTTAGTAACAATTGCTACTATGAATTGTAGCTGATAAACTTCTTAATGCTTGTACTTCAGCATGTTCACAGTTTTTTATACTTTTCTGAATGTCATCAAATTTACAGTTACGCCTTTGTGTACCATATACACATCTAAGACGTGTTAAAAATTTTCTAATCTAATTATTTTAGCTTTATCTAAAGAAGGAAATGAAAAATTTACAAAAAGTAACTGCTGAAACGTATGTTCTAACCAAGTGAAATAAATAAATAAATTTTAAATGTGATCTTGTAAAGGAATCTTCTAAAGGAAGATAGAATAATAATATAACACTTTTGTTTACTAACTTTCAGGTTTACTGAAAGAAAAAGACTGGAATTTAGAAATAATTGCCATTGTGACAACCCAAACATGGCAGTGATCCCACTTTGATATCACCCTTGCAATTACTTTGATTTCACCATTTTCATCTAGCACATAATAAAATTGAAATTTCCAAATGAATGTTTCAATATGTTTAAGCTTGAATTTGGCACCATTACATTCAAATAATGATAAGTAGGAAGATAATGGAGAATATGAGTATATCATGAAGACTACTTTTGTCAGTAGTCCTGTAAGCACAGTACATGATCTCGCTAAGTGGCAGTTCCTCCTCTGCTACAATGAGAGCTCTGACACAAACCACTCGTTGGCGAGCGGGATATTTCCTCCTCCAGGTATCCCCTCCCCCAGTATGGCTATACTCCAGCTACGACTAACTTGAAGCTATTGATGTGTGTGGCGAAGTAGCACCTCTAAAAGTAAGGGAAGATTCTGTAGAACACGTTTTCTATTACGACTGTTGAACACAATACACTGCACCAACATTAACAAACACTAGTGGAAATATATCAACAGTACAATGGTTAACACTATTCCTAACAAGTTTGAAACGAGTAGTGTTTGGAACAAATTGTAATTAATTTCTAGTTAAAAATGTCATTTAACATACTTTGTCGGGTACAATTTCCCGACAAGAGATTTAAGTTATTTTGCCCTAGACCTGCTGACATGTACAATTGTGGATTAACATTTATTCTCTTGACACAAGAATCTTGCATAACACTATAACAAATTTAAATTAACTAGTAGTAACTTATTAATATTCAAGGAAAACAGCCTACTCATTAGGCCCCAAAACTGAAAACTCTTAAACATTCTATAATAGTCTCCTGAACTGATGTGTTGGGCCTCTACTGCTCTAAAAAAGGGACTTTGGTTATAAACAGATTTTTTCGGGTGATAAAATATACAAACTATAAATAATTACCCAAAAACACAATACATATATGTACAGAAATTTATTTTTAAATATGCAAACATTGCAAGATCAATACAAATCTATCTCAACAAGCATTTGGGGAAGAAACTACGATATTGCTTTTTATTAAACAAATGCAATGTTACTGATGCCAACTGACTTGGACAATGTTCAATTTCACATTCTTTGTTTAGAACTCGAGTTCTTTTAAGACATGTCTGGAAATTCCACACAAACAGATTCACAAGTGTGGCGTACCTCTGAAAACTTGTTTTAAACAATCCGTTGTACTCATACAGCCATATTGTCATTCAGTCACATTCTGATATTGTTCACAATTGTGAAGATACAAATAGAGGCCATGTTGAAGTGAAAATACGTGACAGCAAATCATGTCCTTGTAACAGTACACTACTTATGTAGTACTTCAAAACCCACTGTCGTGCATAGCATGAAAATTCCATGTTTGAATGAAGGCTTCAGTTGAAATTTATTTTCAGTAAAAAAATCAAATATCAACTAAAGCAAATTTAGTTCAAACACAGCACTTAAATTAATGCTTCCAATTCTGCTTGCATCAACTGTACATAGCTTCAATATTATAGGTAAACAAATCATTTCATATCAATGCATACATATGAAACTCAGTTCAACATTTTATCTACATTTCATTTCAATGCCTCATAAGTTCCATTAAAGGGTGAAGGAAGTAATCTGTCATACATAAAATGTCAAACTGCAGTCTTCTTCCATTAATTTCAAATATGATCTACAAAGTTCTTTTTTTTTCTTCAATGAAATTGATGGGTAACAGACATAGAATTTCTCTGAAATCAGACAAATTTTCACACAACACAATGCCTATGTAGTTACATTATGAATCAGAACTTATGACTGCACAAAAACACAGTTTTTCAAAGTTGCACAAAAACATAGTATTTCAGCTAGAAATTCCACAGAACTATAACATATTAATGCACTTCATGCTATTTAAATGTAATCACTGGTTGTGTACAGAAAAATAAGGATCTAAGTCCATGATTTATAACTCAGAAGTGTAGTAAACAACGCAATATTGAAGGGAAAAAAACACGTTTAAAAAGTGGTTTGTGTGAAACCAAAATCTACAGTATGTATTCCTACATACTTCTAATCTTTAATCAAGCATTATTTTTAAAAAAAATTTAAAAAACAGAAGTAATCATTGTACACTCTCCGTAATCTGTATTTTTCCCCCTTCATTTACACTTTAATATAATGATTCATTAATAACATAAGTTCACTTCCTTATGAACTAAAGTACATTTACGAAGATCTTAATTTCTTTTACCAACTCATTTTTATATTCTCTTGGTAGTGGCAATTTGTAAATGTAACATAGATGTAACAGAAAGAGACTTGTAAGTACAGCATTTATGTAATATTTTAATATAACAATTCATTCAAAAGTACAGAAATCAATTTATAAATGTTCTTTGCGCAGAAAAGAAACTCCACAGTTTAAACCAACACTATAGATAATTTTTTTAATACCCTTCTGTAAGTAGTGAACAGCCCACACAACCAATCCAATTTGAGCTACAGATTTAGCCTGCTTGAGTGCATCAACTGCGAGTAAGAAAACACCTATCATTTTCACCATCACTAATGAAGTTCATGCAGGAAATCCAACTACACAATTGTGAGGTCTGTTGTAACGTTAAGTCAGTGATGTGCACTGAAATTACTTTAGCTACAGCATTTAAATTTTTGCATAAATTAAGGTATAGGGTAATTGAAAGAAGACTCCACATATATGTAGAAAAAATTTAAGCTTTTCCCTATGATGTTAAAAATGACACTGTTTACAGATGTACACTTTCAACTCTCTCTTCAAATTTATTTAACAAATATCATGTTCCCTTTTACAAATGTATAATTTAGAAATGTTTTATATAGAATCATGCATCAATAAGCAAAGCTATTGCTGGCTTTTCACTTCTAGTTAATTTTCCCTTGATACCTTAATTGTTTCATACATAGAAAAGCATCAAATACACAAAATCAACTGCATATGCATTAATGATAAACTTAAATCTTTACACAATGCAAAAACTGCATAACATTTTTTTAACTTTCCTTCCCTTCCCATTTTTGTTAGCAATTAGCATGTGTAAACGTCTGCAACTACATGAAAAATAAAGTTAAGTAACTATTACAACTGCAAGTAACCAAACTTCAGACAATAAATACTAGAAGGAACATCTGAATACTGCTGTCATGCAAACATCACACACAGCTGCCACCTACAAACAAGCTACAGTATTCACATCAAATATCATTCATTAATAAAAACAATCTTTCCCTTCATAAAGTAAGAAAAAGGAAGATGAACACTTATCTACCAGAACTGGAAAAGGAGGGATCAGTTTTAGAAACGCATATAAAAAAAGGCAACCATGAGCCTATCACTGGACAAGAAGGAAACATCTCCATCTAAACTTGTGCTGGTGGCTTCAATTTGTCCTGTTGAGGCACTGTTAACATTTTTGGACCCTGCAAGGGTGAGCTGCAGCAGCAAAATACTGAATAAATTATTAAATGCCTTTTTTTTTTTAAAGTGCACCAAAAAGCAGCAGCATATGCCAAGACATTTGAATAGAGAACAGTGCGTACTTATCATTTGGACTTCCTGTATAGAATCTGGTTTCCACCTAAATCCATGTCTATAAATCTCGATATTAGATCAAGGATTAAAATGTTGAAGAGGTGGCTCTGTCATTGGAAAATTAGATAACCTTTGTTATCTTTCTCTCATTTTGTGAATTCTTCCAACAGCACAAAGGTATTTCCAAGTGGACCACTTTCACACAACTGGTCTTTCCACGTTCTCATTTCCTAAAGGCTCAAGAACATATCCTTGGCACTTTGATAAAGCTAAACTGTTCAATTTTCTTTCTTTTCCATCAATTTACTTTTTACCTATCCAGAGAATGTCCAGAATTTCTGCGCCAGTTTGTCAAACAATGTGCGTCTGAAGATTTTTCTTATTCTTCTTAGGCAGATGTACCATTTACCATGGTTTCCTTGGCTTTCCCTTCAGATCGCTTCTGTGGTGGTCTTTGGTTGCGTGCTCGAGGCTCACGCTGATTTTTTGGCTGTCCTTCAGCAGCTGGTGTCCCTTCTTTGCTGGTGAAAGCAGACTGATCGCTGGGAGCAGCAGCTGCCCCACCACCTGCAAGCGCATAGAATCATCAGCTTCAGTCACAATTATTAAATTGCTAAAAAACAACTTCAAAATCAAAACACAGTATAACATGAGCATTTTCTTCATGTATGGTAATATGAATAAGAACAAATATAAAAATGCAGATTACCTTCTGATTCAAACTAAAATTCTTAAGCAGAGAACAAAATATCTGAAAATACTAGAGCAAATTAAGCAGAACAGAATACTGCATACAAAATATCATAATGTATGAAAACACATGCTACACATAATCTGGTCAGCATGCATCTGCAGGTGACTTGCAGCTAATGCTCATCACAACAATTAGAGCAATATAGGAACTTTCACATCACAACCACCAAGAACAATAGAACAAATGCTGAAAATAAATCTATGGTTAAAGGAAATTACAAGTGGAAAGCAATTGCATCAACGTTTTCAAGTCAATTGTTATGTCACTGATATAAAAAACTTGAAGAGCAAATGTGATGTATATTAGAATTTTCAAAACATCTGTTACTTGAGCAGAATGCCCATCTGTCACTTACCCTGTCGTTCGGCATTGCCAGTGGGAGCTAAGTCAGCCTGATCGCCAGAGGGCGTCTGGCTACGGGGTCGTGCCCTCCGCCTACGTCGGCGCCGGCGAGTTCGGGACCCTTCCACGCTCGACACTGATTCTACGGGGGCAGGACACATACCGCTTGTGACCAGCAATAACAAATAATGAAAGTGTTATACTTTCTCACCTATTCTACCTATTTGTTTTTAGTATACTGAAACTTACCCACCTATGCAAGAATACTGGTAATATTGACTACACAGTTACAAAACAAGTATCTTACATGTGTACATAACAAAAGATTAATAAAACTTAAAACTTCATAACCCAATGCATATTTTCTTCAATTAGTAATCAAACTAATGAAACATGCACATTTTAGTTAGTGATTAGCTTTGGCTACAATGCACCTACTTTTAATATTTTAAGTTACTGATGGTCACAAATGGAGAGTTGTCCTCCTCCCACCCCATGTACAGGAAACACACTGAACTAGTGAGCAAGGACTGAATAACTAATGGAATTAGAGATCAAAAGTAGTCAAATTTGGCTCCAAAATGCTTCACTGTTCATGAACGCCACTGCTCAAGAACAGTGAAATCACTTCCTAATTTCAACCACTTGTTATGTTCCATAACAATTTCCTGTAAGTTTATTCAAATCTTTTTCCTAATTGTTAGGAATCCATTTCCATTTTGGTTTATTGAATAATGCAGTGAATGCTCAACACAAACCACCACATTAGACTACCTCCTTCAATAAAAGAATTATCAGACTTGGAACATGAAATAACCAATAAATATCACAACAATACAAATGACTAGCTATTATCTGGAAATGCAAAGTTGCAGATTTCTGTTTGTGTACGTCCTCTCAAATCCACTATCTAGAACACAAGAATCTGTTAATGTCAATACATTTCAACCAACATCTATAACTGAACAGTTTGACAGAAAGATTCATCAGTGTTTCTTCAACTCAACACAGAGGGATTTCCAGTTCTAAAGTGGAAAGTTGCTTCAACTGTATTTGGAGCTGCGCTTTTCAGTAATATTCAACAAAAAACATCAGATATTTCCCCCTCTTGAAAATTTTCTTCGCAAAGTTGGCATTTCTAGTTTAGCAAAATGAAATCAGAAACATTTAAAGATGTTACAAAAATCAATCATTCATGTATTGAACATATTTACACTCCACAATTAATAACTAATAATGTTCAGTGTCATGATCTTTCCATGTTCACCATTATATCCACAATCTTTGCATTTCCTTTTTAATCTTACCTACACAAATTTACTCCACACAATTTGCATTAAAACACCAAAGTTACCCCAATTGGACAGCAAGACTGTTACAATGTGATAAAATTCAAACAAAAACATTTACAAAATACTCAAAACTCAAATTAAGATAGAAAACAGTATGATACAAACATACCACGGTACATGCTTCAAGTACATTTTCAATGACAAAAGACAGATACAATGCCCAAACGAAAAAAAATACATTTAAAAAAAGGATTAACATATTCCTGTTTGAATAATTCAGCAATATGTGTCCATTTTCCTGACAATTCTCTTTTCTCATATAATATCATAAAATTTAATTGTTTTACTGAGTTGTAATGAGTATTTCCTCGATTCTTTTTCTTTCCCCTCTTATCTTATTAACTACCATACTGAACATGACAAACAGCATTGAGTTGCTCAATCATAAAACAAAATGTTTAATGCACTGTAATTTATAATAAAGTCAAAATAAAATGACAAATGATCAATAAAAAATGTTTTGATACCAACAAAGAAAAGAAATCAAAATATGTGCATTATATGCATAAGAACAGCCAAACACATTAATAAAATAAAATTTAATCAAAACAAATGTATAGTAGCATTAATTTGAAATGTTCAGAACATTTTCACTGTAAAATATAATTCTGCTTTTGAAGATAAAGTTTACTTTAAGTTGTAATCATGAAAATTAACTTTTCAATACAGATTAAATGATCAAGAATTCACATCTATTACACCTCCACTACCATATTTTAACATCCAGTACAATAACATGTTGTCCACAGGTAATAACACAACACTAGGTATTAGGTCAATCCATGTTACTAAGTATTTGTTCATGCAATTTACACTGAAAACATTAAAAATTAAAGAAAAACAAGTTTTCCTTGCTCATATTAACATTATAAACATTGCACTAAGGACATTGTTTCATGCTGGATCATGCTTCCTACAACAAAAGCAGCTGATACTCTAGCAGAAAAAGTAAAACAAGAAAAATAACACGAGATTAAAAACAAGAAAAAACTAAATGAAAAGAAAATTTAAAAAATTAAAATACCTGAAATAATATAAAATTATAATTGAAATCTATATCATTAGCAATTTTAAAAGACTTAATCATCTTTTTATTCCTGAACAATACCAAATGTCTTGAAGGAAATTAAAAGCATCTGATAGGTAGTTGAAAAGTATACTTATTACATGCACACAAACTTTAAATTCACACCAACAAAACTAAGTTTTAATCATGAATTGATCTTATCTAACAAAGGCAAGAAAATCAATTCTATAATATTTGACACAAGGTATCAAGCCAATCCATCACCAATTCCTTCAGGCTTCTCCAAATAATTAAAATTTTTAATGACATTTCTTGCAAGGACTGTTTACAAACATTTTTTATGTACATTTAAGTAATTAATTTGTGCTGTACAGTATCATTACTTGAAATTGAAAGAAAATATTTACTAGCTGGTAGAGATATTTCACATCCACTCTCAGTGTTGAACTACAGAACAGAACTATGCTACAAATTTGAGAATAAAAAGTCACTTAAATGGTTTTATAGGACTTCTGCATGTTCACATTTCATGTAACTGATGGCCTTTGTGTCACATAACGGATGTTCAGATTGCACTTGCAAAGGCTTGCAAAGGTGTGCTACTCAATATATAAAATTACAATACTAGAACTAACATTTCAGCTAACACTCCTACCATGAAGCCAAAT